TGACGCTGAATGAGATTATTAACTATGAAGCTTGACTTGTTTTGTTTGTTAACCGCTGTTTTAACGCCGCAGTTCGCGTTGCGAATGTTTCACAAGAATGCTGGGTTGTGAACAAAACTTTCGCCCCAGGCGGGACTAGAACCCGCACCTCTCGCTTTCAGCTTTTTTGCCTGGGGCGAAAGCTTTGTTCACAACCCAGCATTCTTGTGTAACTATGAAGCATTTTTGGTGGAATGTGTATAATATGACCCCTTCCGCACGATTATTTTTTAGAAACAATCCTATCTACCTTCCCACACCCCAGCACGAAGATTTTAAAAAGCAATCCTCCCTTTCCCCCCCCCCCCTCCTCCTGCCTTCGTTCTCTTCCATCATCACATCTGGCCGTCTTGCTTTCGATTCATCGAAAATGTGACAGATAGTGCCGGAGGAGGAGATGAGGTGAACGAAAAAGGGGAGCGACAACGGCAGCGCGCACGCGGGGCAAGATGGGTGACGTCATCTGCGCCGCGCTGCAAGAGTGGGGAATAATCAACGGGTTGCTACAGCCTTTGCATAAGAGAGAAAACCAAGGCTATTTGTCAGCCTACGACCTGCAATCAATGGTAGGGGGGGGGTGAAATGGGGGTTCCACGGGCAATTACCACAAATACGATGTGAAAACGTTAAGAATCTCCAGAAAGACGAACGTACAATCAATAACAAGATTTCTTACAGCTTCAGATAGACTATAAAAATGCCGTCTCATCGATCAATTGTCTGTTCGAGTCACTCTGTACGATAAAGTGCCTCTGCCCCAGGAAAACACATGCGACGGTGCAAACGGTACCCAGACAGCAAAGGAAGTGTCCTTTTCTAGACATGTTGCAACACAATTAGGCAGATGTCGGACCTCGCGGCAAATCGCTGGCGAATCATTCGACGCGAAGTATGACAACCTGCCTGGTCGAAAACTCGGAAGCCAGGTCCGCTTCCGAAACCGGCCACGCTTCCAAGCTTGCTTGTTGAAGTTTGCGACAGTGTTACCACTAACGTTAGAATTTTATTTAGGAAGCGCATTTTGCTATCAAACGGTTGTGTTTTGTAATTTTGTCACCTCTCATATTCTTTCGAAGCACACTCACTAAATGGCCAACATCTAAGCCATGAACTCGTCCAAAGTCAACGGGAATGAAAGTGATCGCATGTCTGAGGTTTCCTAAGCCATCCTCACTACCGTACATCTTGCAACCCTGACTGTCATTACCTGAAACAACACCAAAATGATCATATACTGACTCGATTATAAAAAACCTTACACTCAGTCGTTTAGCCTCAAATATGAGTTGTGGGCTAATACATAATGTACTGTAATTTCACATTTACGGGTCAAATTGGGAGGTTACGGTGGTTACTTATAGACCACGAGAGACATACTGCATCTTTTAAAAAATTCACCTCAAACTACCATCCGTGGGAAATAGCCCTTTCGACGCTGATAACACCAGTAAGATTCCCACATCCACTAAAGTGTCAAATGCAATCTCGGAGCTCGCGAAAAGAAACCTCGACGGACTTTTGACTCTCTCGTATCTCAGCCCTATGCCAATCACCCTGTTGAGTTGATTAAACTATGCAAATATGCACACGACTTTACAATTCGTTTTAATGTGCTGGGTATTAGACCAAACAATGAGCGCGGTCAGTGACCACAGTCCGCTACAAATACTCAAATTACTGAAAGCAATTCCAATGTTTTTCCAAGGCGGAGATGACGGTGAAAAGGCAACCCTTCTAGAATCAAGGTAGGTGTGGTCACTGATGCAGTGATAAGGGAAAAAAATCAAGAAAACGCCTAGGATCCGAAAAATGTGCTCTCAGCTCTCGCTTGGCCCAACGACTTCCCCACTGAAGCGAGTCTCATCGATGCTGACGTCATCCGTGCGACCGCTCTGCTGTGCCTGCTCAGGCTGTAGGGCTAGAGTCCGACGGCGAGGGGATAACCAGCCTGCGGGCAGACGCGGCAAAAGCGGCGCGGGTACGGTCCTGCTAGACCGTCGGGAACATGCTTCGCTGCGAAACGTGCATGCTCACCCACCCTTAGGGGCCTGCCTCCCTTCGACTAGGTATGGGTGACGAGGAAAGCTTTTGCCCGATGGCCAAATAAGTGGAAATAGGGCAATATGGCTGCTCCAAATATTCTTTTCCATGTGAAGCCGTCAAACTCCTCTGTCATCTGCCGGCGAGAGCGCAGACGACCGGACAGTGAGAAGTTCCCTGTGGTTAAGTAGTTAGGTTACCGCGAGCGCAATGGCATGATACCTCATGCCCACTACGAATTGTTCGACTGCTGCAAACGCGACATCACCTTGGACGCCGCTGCTCGCCGCGTCGCCGCAATCGGAACTTCCTGACCCACCCCCTGTCTTTCTGCCCTTTTAGACGATATTAAAGCATTACTTTATTGCATACGTATGTGTTTGTGTGTGTCATGTGCGAATTACAACCCAGAAAAAAATGTAAGCAAGACTAGTAAAGTAGGTAATAAAACT